TTTAAGCACCTTCATACACAGATTCCCATTTACTAGGTTTTATTTCCAGTATTTATCATAGCCATCATTATAGTTCTGACTGGCTCAAACGAATTTAATTGTGAAATAAAAATTGAGAAACGTGCAGCATAAAATTAATGGTGAAATGTATTAACAGCTAAAAATTGGAATGATTAAACTTCCATTATGCAATATATAAATTGTATAATTTATACATAATATATATTTTATTAGTTTGCTTAATTGTCCAAGGTATAAGGGCTGACTCTTGAGGCTAGCCTTGCCCAACTGTTTAAAATGACAGCTAGGAGATATGGGAATCATAGGCCTCGATACCACCCTTTAAGATATACTATACTGGCATGTATAACAATCTCCTATTTGATGAAAAGATGTAACAACATTGTAATTGTGTTGTGCATGATGAACAGCTGAAAACTAATGGAGTTTATTTTCCATTTCACCCTTCATAGAGGGTCGCACTGGGAGCTGATCTTATTAAAGAGGGACAATGGGGGTCAACCCCAACCTGCCTATGACAGTCATTACAGTTTAACCATTAAATAGTGCAATTGTTGAGTGCTGTCTTAAGAACTACAAAAAATTATACATGCTATTTCACCCAAGTCTGACTATGTTAGCTTACCAGATTCATAATTATTTAACTGAGCCTTTCTGGGACCTCCCATTTTAACCATACTCCCTCCCCACCAAAGAAGCATCCTGCCCAAGAACTACAGGATAGGCATACCTTAACTAAGCAATTACCATTTGGACAAAAGGCAATGGGGAAATACCTGGGTCTCCATGCACGGAAAACACAACAGATGGCAAAGCACAGTTCATGGTCGTTTTTTCTCTCTGGCACCGCCACAGCAGGCAGAAGGAAGCAGAAGCTATCCACACCTACCCAGGCATAGCAAACAAGAGCCCCGTCGCCATGTCAAACCCATACCAATGAGGAGGATGCTCTTCTGTAGTATCCAAAAATATAAAGTACAGTTCTGAAGTTTTGATTTACTTTATGCTGTTCTGTAGTATACAGAACTGAAGTTCCAATTTCATATATAATATTTTGTAAACACAGTACAGTATTGTACAACCCATCCTCCTGCTTAGATAATACTTTTTCTGTGGACCATTGTACATACATATACATAATGGACAATTAGATAGTAGAATTTGGTACTATTGCTTTATAGTCCAAAAAAAATACAAAATAAAGCTAAAAACCAAACAAATATTCCTCAGCCTAGTATAGCACATACATGTACTATATTAGGCCTAGGAAGGTTAGGTTATGTAAGTTTTCTTTACAACATCAGTAAAATCTTTTCAGGTTCGTCCAAATTCAACAGTACCGATTTCTGCTTTCTAATTGCCTTTCGTGTCAATATATGTACGAAGGTCTTCATCATTAATACAATACAGCCCATCAGAGGATGGGCTGTAATATAGTATCCAATAAGGTGTAACTACAAAAATTATCTAATTACCTATTTTTTTTTTTTTAATGCTCTATCAGAAAGTTTTACATACAAAGTACTTGAGGGTTGTGTAATGTTTCATAGTTATAGTTATTTCATAGTCAGTCACGTAGAACGCGGTTGCAAATTAGCAGAGTGCATTTAGCCAATGGCTATGAATCAAGAAGACAAATTAAATGGGAAAACCAATGAAAATTGATTCTTTAAAAACTTTACTTTTCTCCTGAATGCAATACAATATGAATATAAATATGCTTGACCATTTAATCTAGTGGCAAGTGATATCAAACAGGCTAGTAATGATACAAGATATCTAAAACTTTTAATACTAATATATGGTATACACTTTGTAAAAATCTTGTATTTATCCCACAAAAGTTGCATATCTCAGAGGGTTCAGAGACAAAACATCACAGTACAAATTTTCCTAACCCCATAGCTGCTGAACTCCCCACCATCACAAATTATCTCTGATGCCGAAAATTTACTTCACGAATATTAGCTTTGATCAAATGATAAAATAAACATATTTAATATAAAACTAGACCACTTGCAGAGATATGTAAAACTATAATTTTAAAAATTTACATTCGTGATCTAGAGCCAATTCACACATCGTCTGCAAACCCATGGGCACAAGAGATAATTACTTTAATCACAAATGTACCAAAGATCTTCAGTGGATGTTTAAGCAAATAAGAACTTAATTAGCTCAACAATGGGGGCCTGCAACTAGGGGATTACCTACTTCAATATTGGACCAGAGTACTGTAAAGGTTAATGGTGGCAATGTGGCAAGTTTGTACAATAAGTGGAGTTACAAATGTGACAATATACCCTGTCATGCTCATTTTTAACAAATGCATTTATTTCCAGTTTCTATTGTATCTACAGAATACTTAACCCAAGTATAATTTAACTTAAATACTTAAACCCATTAGCTTCTATGGAATTTGTTACATCTTAAGATCATTTATAAATAATTGAGCTACTAAACCATGTGATCCACTTTAACACCACAATCTACAACTTTTTCATTGTAAGAACTTTTCAACAAAGAACAAAACCTGAGAATCAACAAATACAACTATGAATAACTTTATTATTTGTGGTAAAGCCAAGTGAAGCTGGTAAGATACACCCACAGAACTCTAGGTTAAAATCATAATTTAAAGCAATAAATAATAATCTAGACAAAGCTGTCTTAATATTATGCAAATTCATATCATCCTGTCTTTTTTTCAAGAATTCTAAGTTACAAATAAATACTAATGCACAGTGTTGAATCCAAGATTAAAAACGTTAAATTAAATTTTTGTCTTGATGGTGAAGTGATGTAGTTAGTGGGTATAGTAATGCACAGGCAACTTGGCAGTCTGGGATTCAAATCCCCACTCAGAGGGTGTGTCAATACCATTCAGTTTGCATTAAAATTAAACTGACCAAATACACAATATTGAAAAAATAATTAAAACTTTAAATTTTTTTTTTTATATATGATGGAGATTCGGTTAAGGTGAGACGTATTACATTCACGCCATATCTTGTCACGTGGGGCCTCAAAGCCCACTCGGGTAGCACCCGAGCTCTTTTAAACATTAAAGTGTGGTTATCGTTGTGTGTGTTAATCCCCAAAGTAATGCGGTTATCATCATATGTTAATTTTAATTGGTATCGTTTAGATTCATTCAAATGATGTAAACATGGTTATAATATTGCAGTAAGCCTAGACCCATGAAAAAATTCCGCAATAGTTTTTAATTAATATGCGATGAAGTTATCGTATACTAGTACCAGCAGCCTGTATATATCGTGAAATCGCAATTTGGTCTTTCCCACCGGTATTTGATTCTACTGTTGGACATTGCCAGACAGAATAACAGCAAAATAGTGGACTGCAACACACTTTCTTTGAGCTGTGCCAGGAACAGATTTATGTGCAATATAGATGTACATATTATATTGTAGGCCTATATACCGTACTCACTCACTGTTTTTATCAATTATGTGTAGATAAAATTATTCCACACACTGTAAACTAGAGTGAATCAGTGAACATATAAACCATATAACGTGAACATCACAGCTCTCACCCCTACATGACGAGTCAGTAAATTGCGTCCCTACAAGTCCCCCTGGATGTGAAAAAAAAAAACACAGTTGAATTTAACGAAATGACATTTTCTGGGTGAGCCCCGGAGGCTCCCTGAAGCTATCAAACTGACATGTGCCATATTAATTTAGTGCCATCAGTACTTGGAGTTTGAGGGCCTACTGGGGACCACAAACCAGAACCTGGCCCCCTCAGAGAGGTGCGGGGAACAATGGCCATATGAGCTCTCTACATTTAGAAGTTGTCATGTATGCCAACTACGACAGGGTTAAAAAGAGTTGAAACCGAAATTTTACTGAACTTACTGGATCCCGCAGCCTCTCCGAGGCACAAACCAGGGTTTTACACAACTCCCCCCCCCTGCACTCGAGCTATGTCAATAGGCCGTTCTCCCTCTTCGCCCTTACATCATTACATAAAACCCTGGTTTGTGCCTCGGAAAGGCTGCGGGATCCAGTAAGTTCAGTAAAACTTCGGTTTCAACTCTTTTTAACCCTGTCGTAGCTCAGTCGATTAAGGCAGTGTCTGGGATGCTCCCGGACGCAGGTTCGAATCCAGGGAAGGTAACCCTGAATCGCAAAGAAGTACAGTACTTACCGGGCACCTAGGGAAGGAAGGTATCTCCTAGGTGCATGCAGCACAGTAGACTTGTAGGAACACTTGGCCACTACACACAAAGCCGGCAAAGCAAAGCCAGACAAAACTTGAGGCCAGAGAGGACCTCCGACACCTGGCACATTAGACAACGAACTGGGGGGGTGTGGTGCGGCTTGCTCGCCTGTGTGGGGTCCCCCCCCTTTCCCTGTCGGGGGAGGGTGAGGCGCTGACGAGAAGGCACGCTCGTTGGACGACGTGTTGCTTGTTTTACTGTTTTCTATCGGGGGGAGTTCTTTGGATCTGTTCAGACGTAGGTTGCAATTTTAATCAGTTAGAGGTTTGTAATGATTCGTCTATCTTCCTGGAGGTATCCCCGGTCGATGGCAGACATAAGCATAAAATGTAGAACTCATATGGCCATTGCTCCTTGCGCCTCTGAGGGAAACAGGTTCTGGCTCATGGTCCCCCGCAGGCACTCGAACTCCAAGGATTGATGGCATCAAACCAGTATGGCACATGTCAGTTTAATAGCTTCAGGGAGCCGACTGAAATCCCCTCAGAAAAATCTGAATTTTTGCAAAAAAATTTATAATTTTGCAAGAAACTATTATTATTATTTTTGGTGCACAGGCTGAGTGGCACCTTTATGATAGCCACACGCCAAGGGTTAAAAGTGGTTTCCGATTGGTCAACAAGCCAACTTTTGAAAACATGGTTAGCTGTCATGACAACAAGGTTAACATGCTCGCCACCCAGCTGCAAATACTAAATTACCACAAGACTTCAATAATAAAAATAATATAATTAATAATACAGATTTATTATTACTCAATATTAATAATAAATGATATTAGATAAATAATTTTTGTGCACTAAAAGGTTAACAATCAAGGGAATGAAGTCTCTGAACAGTGTTTTTTTTCCGGCCAAATTGTTAAATCTTCCAATTTGCGTTTCTCACTATGAAATTTCTGATTACATAGTGGAGAGGTGGGCTTTGACAATGGCAAACTCTCTTTTGAAGTTGGCTCACCTGCTTCCTTTTCTTTTATGACTACATCACCTGCCGTTTGTTCTGCTCTGTTTCCTGCTTCCTTTACTTCTAAATCCCTTCCATTTCCTTCAAATTTATCACCTGCCACTTTTCCTTCATCTGTTTCATAATTATTATCATCATTATCATCCAAGCACACCACCTCACTATCATCATCTGCTTCAGTATTGAGATAATCCATTTCCTCACTGTCAACAAGTGGAACATCTGAAATATAAAGAGAAACTTATAGTAACTTGGAAACTAAGGGAAAAGGTACCATAAAAATGGAGAAAATGTTAACCATAAGTCACTCTCCATAGTCTCTACAACATGGTGAATGGGCTGAGCTTCCTATAACATTGAACTAATCTGAACAAGACTTTAATTAGGAAAATTAATAATTTGAATAAAACCAGCGTTGAATGTAATGAAACGCCATTTTCTGGGTGAGTCCCGGAGGCTCCCCGGAGCTATCCCAGGCTGATATGCTAATGTCAGACTTTGGCATCAGTCATGTGTATGGAGTTCTTAGGCCTACCGGGGACCACGGCCAGAACCGGGCCCCCTCAGAGAGGCAAGGGGAGCAATGGCCTATAGAAGCCCCCGTGTTAGTGGAAGCATTCTATGTCTGCCATCGACCGGAACAGGCACCCAGAAAGGTAAGCGCCCCAAAACAAACCCCTATTCTGGTTAAAATTGCTACCTAAAACCGAACTAGTGGATAGAACTCCCCAACCGAAAACAAGCAAACTAGTGTGACGTCACACACTGCCGCGCCGCTGTCTGCGCAGCTCCCCCCTCCCCGGGAGGGGGAAGGGGGAGCCCCAGACCCCCCGCGCCGGCTACCCACACCTCAGTTCTTGAGGCTGGATGTCAAAAACGCGAAAAACCGCCGACCGGAGGGAGGGAGGGATGCCGGGGAGCCTCCGGGACTCACCCAGAAAATGGCGTTTCATTACATTCAACGCTGGTTTTCTGGGGGGAGCCCCGTCGGCTCCCCGGAGCTAACTACCCACAGACAGAAAAAGAGGGACTTACCCGGGAGGCGGTCGTCGCTCACCCCTCAACTCGAAGCCGAGACAACTGGCTGCAACCGCCGATCACAAAACATGATGCACCCCCGGCCAGACCAACCAAGCATCAACCACCCATGGACCCCTCCGGAACGCAGCAGTCTCATTCTTCGCCAGAAAAGAAGGAGACGGCTGCAAACGAACAAAACTATCACCACGACCAAAAGAGCAGAAACCCCTGCGCCGGAGGAGAGCATGAAGCTCCCCTACCCGACCCCCAGAGGCCAAAGCCAACAAGAAAAGTGCCTTGGAAAAACAATCCTGGACCGAAGGGGCCACAACGAAACGAGGAGATGAAAGGAAAGCGAGCACTCTGTCCAAAGACCAGGACGGCTCAGGCGACGCATGAGCAGGCCGGAGGTGAAACAATGCACGAGACAGCTTGCGAAACGGCGCAGACGTAACATCGATACCGAAAGCAAGCTGAAGCGGCTCCGCCAGCGCCGCACGATACGAAGCGACAGTGTTAGGCATAAGATGACGGTCCTGAAACAACCACGAGAGGAAGGACAAGACCACCCGAACAGACAAGGAGCTAACACGACGAAGACGCAAAAAGAAACGGAAGGACCGCCAGGAAAACTGCATACTGCCGCCGAGAAGAAGCCCTCAGGTGGGACACCAACAAGGAGGCCACCTGATCACCATAGAGATGATGATAGACTCGAGTAAAAAAAACCATACGCGAAGACTCGAGGAGAAGATCGAACCAGCTACGTGACGTACCGGCCCGATCTGCTGAAAGAGGCGGAGCCGCGGGAAAAACCCTCGGGTTCGGACACCGAGCAACCAGCGCCTGAAACCAAGGCTGGGCCGGCCACCAAGGGGCCAGAAGGACAACTCTCCCCCGGTAAGTCTCTAAGCGAGTCAGGACCTGGAGCAACAGCCGAACCGGGGGAAAGAGATACAGGAACCCCCACCTCGTCCAGTCGAGCCGAAAGGCATCGACCCCGACGGCCTCGCAATCGGGGAAGGGCGCCGCATAAACGGGAAGACGCCGCGACCACGCCGACGCGAAGAGGTCCACCTCGGGGCGCCCGAACGTCTGGCAAAGCCAAAGGAAGGACTCGTCGTCGACCGTCCACTCCGTGGAGAGAGGAACGAAGCGAGACAGGGCGTCGGCCAAGACGTTGGACACGCCCCGTACGTGAACCGCCAGGAGAGCCAAACCCCGAGAACTCAGCAGACGAGTCACCCGAAGCGACCAACCCCAAAGAGACAAGGACCGCATCGAACCCCCGCGGTTCAGGCAATGAACCACCGCAGAGCAGTCCGAATGGAGCCGAATCGTCGATCCGCGGGCCACCCGAATCCTCCCCAGAGCAAACCACACTGCCGCGAACTCCCGCACCGTACTGTGAGCTCGACGGAAGGACGGATCCCAACGCCCCTGGCTGGCCTGGTGAGCACTGGTCACAAAACCCCAGCCGAGACGACGCATCCGTGTACACATCGAGCGAGGGCTCGGGTAGGCGCCAAGGCACTGAACCCCGAAAAACCCGAAGAGGAAACCGGTGACGCAGCAACCGACGCAAGTCCCCCGGGGGTCGAACTCTGCGATCGCGAGAGAGGCGGAAGGGGGAACCCCGAAGGAACCAGAACAGCCGTCGAAGCCAAACCCGACCCGGCGGGTAGACCACCATCGCGAAGTTCAGGCTCCCGCACAGCCCCTCGAGCAACCGCCGGGTGACCCGAGGGCCCTCCAGAAACAGATGAAGGCGGGACCGCAGCCGCAGGAGAGACTCCGGAGGGAGAGACAAGGAGGCGGTTCGAGAGTCCCACACGAGACCCAGCCATGTCCGAACCTGAGAGGGAACCAGATGGGACTTCCTCCAGTTCACCAAGAACCCGAACCCGGCGAGCTGGGAAAGAACCAAATCCCTGGCTAGCAAGCAAGCTGACTGGCTGGGAGCCCAAACCAGCCAGTCGTCGAGGTAGGCCAACACTCGAACACCTAGGAGACGCAAACGAGCCACCACAACCCGTGTAAGGCGTGTGAACACGCGAGGTGCCAGGTTCAACCCGAACGGGAGACAACGAAAGCGGTAACTCAGACGCCCCACTACAAAACCGAGCCAGTCCCTGAACCGCGGATGAATCGGGACATGCCAATAAGCGTCCCGGAGGTCCAGGGACACCATCCAAGCTCCCGGCTCCAAGAGGAGCCGAACCTGAGACAACGTAGTCATCCGAAAGGAGGGGCAATGAACCCAGGGGTTCAGACGGGACAAGTCCAGAATGAACCGCAGGTCCGCGCAGTCCCGTTTCGGAACCGGAAACAGACGGGAAACCCATCTGAGGGACGACGTCGTTTCGACGACGCCCAAGCGTACCCACTCCAAGACGACTCGACAGAGCGCAGGGGAAGAAGCCTGCCCTGCCAGCCCCGACCCCCCAAAGAGGGGAGGGGCCACCCAACGCCACCGCAGGCCGCGAGACACGACCCGAAAGGCCCACGAATCGTGGGACCAGGCGCGGGCGAACAGCGCAAGCCGCCCCCCATCGCCCCGTCAAAGGGGCAAACCGCGAAAGGGCCGGCGACCCCTACGAGACCCAGAACCCCGCACAGCGCGAACACCGCGCCGACCAGACGAGGGAGGGTCCGCAGGAGGAGCCAACCCCAAACCTGACACCAGAGGCCTACCACGACGAGAGGAACCCCGAGCCCTGGCACGACCTTTCCGGGAAGACCCACCCCGGGACCCCCGGAAAACCAACAAGTCCGACATCGGACGACAAGCCGCCGACGCAGCCTGAATAAACTGCGCCACGGCCGACTCCCCAAACAGGAGAGGACAAAAAGGTGAAGAACGCCTAAGAGCCAGAGCCCAAGCAGATCCCATGGAGGAACCCAGCACCGCCTGCCGACACGCGAGACGGGAAGCATAGAACAGGGAAACCGCATCCCGCAAAATCGGCGTGAACAGCTTCAACAAGGCAGCCGACGAACGCGCAGCCGAGGACAAGGTGCCGGACCCCGGGACGGACCCAAGCGTCCCCACATCCTCCACGAGCCAATCCGAAGACAGCTCCAGGAGGGAAAAGAACCGCAAGGCCGAACACAAAAGGCCCCGAGCGCGCAAGTCCTCCGCCACGAGCGCCGCCGAAAGGGAGGGAACCTGCACATGGAGCTGAATAACGCCCACATCGCGGGGAAGGGCAGGGGCAAACAAGCACTCATTCAGGTACTCAAGTTCACCCCCCAGGAAAACCTGAAGCACCGTGGAAGCTTCCCGCCACTCCAGCGTGCGGGAACGACAGAAGGAATGCCAGGAATCCAGACCAAACAAGGGGCAGTCTGCTAGCCAGGACGACTCCGGAACCTCGTAACGGAGCCAGAAAGGGAACGAAGTCCCAACCTTGACGTGGACGGATCCATTTCCGAGGCATAATCCGGGTCACGCAGGAGGTAAGCTGCAAAGGCCGCTCGCACCACACCAGGTTGGATGCGATAAGCCGAAAACCTCCGGAAGGACGGAACCGACGTACCCAGGGGAACACGGAACCATACCCGGGGAGGGGCCTACACCAAATCCAACTCGTACGCAGAGGGGGGGAAAGAAAACCCCACTCCTTGTAACAATAAGCCCCGCTCAGTGGGAAGAAAAACCCCGGCGGGGTCCAGCGGGGCCCAAGGCCCCCAAGTCAGCCCCTCCCCAGCCTCGAGGTCCGTCACCACAGGACCCAAGGCCGAGTCCTCTCCCCAAGCCCCGACCCCACAAGACAAGGACGGAGCAGCCGGAAAAGCTGGAGGAAGAGGGGCCCACTGGTCAGACCCTGAAGCTTCAGCCGGGAGACAAGACTCGAATGCCTCTGCCGCCCCCCCGGAAGGGGCAACCCCCGAAGCTGCCCGAGTCTCGAGATCAAGTAACCCCTGCTCCGACCCCGAAACCCTCAGACGCTTCGGGGCCGGAAGCAGGGGCGGGGGACCAGAACGAACAGAAGGGGAAGGACGAGGAGGTGCGGACTGAACCAGGATCGAAGCGACCCCCACCCCCAAGTCCGGGTCTCGAAAAGCAAAGCGGGGCAGCCCCGGGGCATCCGGGGAAGCAACCAACCGAGCGCGTTGCAACAGACGAAACCTAGACTGCAACGCACGTATTCAGAGGTTGAAAATGGGAAATAGATTCACGGAAGATGAAAAGGAAATGTGTGAAACACTAAACGAAAAGTTCCAAAGTGTGTTTGTACAAAATGAAATCTTTAGGGAACCAGATACAATAAGAATTCCAGAGAACAACATAGAACACATAGAGGTGTCTAGAGACGAAGTGGAAAAAATGCTCAAGGAGCTCGGTAAGAACAAAGCAGCTGGCCCAGGTGGCGTTTCACCATGGGTTCTGAGAGAATGTGCATCTGAGCTCAGCATTCCACTTCACCTGATCTTTCAGGCATCCCTGTGTACAGGAATCGTAGCAGACGGGTGGAAACAGGCTAACATAGTTCCAATCTACAAAAGTGGCAGCAGGGAAGACCCCCTCAATTATAGACCTGTATCATTGACAAGTGTAATAGTGAAAGTATTGGAAAAACTAATCAAAACTAAATGGGTAGAACACCTAGAGAGAAATGATATAATATCAGACAGACAGTATGGTTTTCGATCTGGAAGATCCTGTGTATCGAATTTACTCAGTTTCTATGATCGAGCCACAGAGATATTACAGGAAAGAGATGGTTGGGTTGACTGCATCTATCTGGACCTAAAAAAGGCTTTCGACAGAGTTCCACATAAGAGGTTGTTCTGGAAACTGGAAAATATTGGAGGGGTGACAGGTAAGCTTCTATCATGGATGAAAAATTTTCTGACTGATAGAAAAATGAGGGCAGTAATCAGAGGCAATGTATCAGAATGGAGAAATGTCACAAGTGGAGTACCACAGGGTTCAGTTCTTGCACCAGTGATGTTTATTGTGTACATAAATGATCTACCAGTTGGTATACAGAATTATATGAACATGTTTGCTGATGATGCTAAGATAATAGGAAGGATAAGAAATTTAGATGACTGTCATGCCCTTCAAAAAGACCTGGACAAAATAAGTATATGGAGCACCACTTGGCAAATGGAATTTAATGTTAATAAATGTCATGTTATGGAATGTGGAATAGGAGAACATAGACCCCACACAACCTATATATTATGTGAGAAATCTTTAAAGAATTCTGATAAAGAAAGAGATCTAGGAGTGGTTCTAGATAGAAAACTATCACCTGAGGACCACATAAAGAATATTGTGCAAGGAGCCTATGCTATGCTTTCTAACTTCAGAATTGCATTTAAATACATGGATGGCGATATACTAAAGAAATTGTTCATGACTTTTGTTAGGCCAAAGCTAGAATATGCAGCTGTTGTGTGGTGCCCATATCTTAAGAAGCACATCAACAAACTGGAAAAGGTGCAAAGACATGCTACTAAGTGGCTCCCAGAACTGAAGGGCAAGAGCTACGAGGAGAGGTTAGAAGCATTAAATATGCCAAAACTAGAAGACAGAAGAAAAAGAGGTGATATGATCACTACATACAAAATAGTAACAGGAATTGACAAAATCGACAGGGAAGACTTCCTGAGACCTGGAACTTCAAGAACAAGAGGTCATAGATTTAAACTAGCTAAACACAGATGCCGAAGAAATATAAGAAAATTCACCTTCGCAAATAGAGTGGTAGACGGTTGGAACAAGTTAAGTGAGAAGGTGGTGGAGGCCAAGACCGTCAGTAGTTTCAAAGCGTTATATGACAAAGAGTGCTGGGAAGACGGGACACCACGAGCGTAGCTCTCATCCTGTAACTACACTTAGGTAATTACACTTAGGTAATTACGTGCCGCCTGTACCCGAATAGAATCAGAGGATTGGGTAAATTGAGTCACAAGCAAGCAGCAACACTCACAGGACTCAGGGTCGAAAGTATCACCGGCCCAACAGGCAGCGTGGCAGAGGCAAAAACAATGAGGGTCACCCTGAGACAAGGGGACCGAGCAACCCTCAAACTCGCACACAGCGAGTGGGGACTCCGGGGTCACATCCATCGGACCCACGCGCCCCCTAGGGGATTCCCAGGGTCCTGAGCGTTTACTTTAAGAGGACTCGCGCTCAGGTAGTCCCAGGCAGGGTGCTGCAAACCGGCACCCAAAACTACCAAGCAAACTTCTAAAGCTGAACCCCAGGGACGTGTACACTCACGGGGACCTAGCAGGGGGCGCCACCGATGAGAACAGTGGAAGGGCAAAAACAAACTGAATAAAATGACAGAACCCCCCACCAGGCAAAAACAAAAAGAAAAACAAAACCCCGCAAGAGGACAGCGAACCCCAAGGAACAGAGCCGGCCGCGATGTCGGGAAATACAAGCTGAGCAGCACCCTGCGCCCCTACCAGTGCAAACTGCCTCTTACCTGCCGGTAACAAGGGAGAACAGAACACCCAAGAGCCCAACAGGCGGCCGAAAAACCGAAAGGTAAAACGGACCAGCCGAGGCAGACCCCGAGGAGCCTGTGGAAGGTGGCCCCAAGCCCCAAGGGCAGTACTTACAGGGCACCTAGGGAAGGCAGCCCTAGGCGCATGCAGCCCGAGTACTGAAGATAACTCCTGGCTCTCGCACCCACAAAACTAACACCACACGCAAAGCACAGTGCAGTAGCGACACCGGAGCCAGAGCACACGACCATCGCCTATAGCATCAGCCTCAAGAACTGAGGTGTGGGTAGCCGGCGCGGGGGGTCTGGGGCTCCCCCTTCCCCCTCCCGGGGAGGGGGGAGCTGCGCAGACAGCGGCGCGGCAGTGTGTGACGTCACACTAGTTTGCTTGTTTTCGGTTGGGGAGTTCTATCCACTAGTTCGGTTTTAGGTAGCAATTTTAACCAGAATAGGGGTTTGTTTTGGGGCGCTTACCTTTCTGGGTGCCTGTTCCGGTCGATGGCAGACATAGAATGCTTCCACTAACACGGGGGCTTCTATAGGCCATTGCTCCCCTTGCCTCTCTGAGGGGGCCCGGTTCTGGCCGTGGTCCCCGGTAGGCCTAAGAACTCCATACACATGACTGATGCCAAAGTCTGACATTAGCATATCAGCCTGGGATAGCTCCGGGGAGCCGACGGGGCTCCCCCCAGAAAAACAATAGTTCAAAGGCCAAGAAACAACTAAATCCAGACTATAATCAGGGAACTGCTTTCAGTGTAAGGTCAATCTTTATCAAATACGAAATATTATTACACTGCGAATTATTAACTAATATTGACTATAGTCTGTATTTGTTATGGTGGATTTGTACTTGCCTAAATATGCTTCAGGTTTATTAAGAAGATATTTCACTATACCACTCTCCTTCCTGTTACGTCAAAAACTGTATATGCATTATAGTCAATGTTCACCCAATCAATTTTTTTTTTTTACTAGGGAGAAAGGATTTTACTGGGGTTTGAAAAATCAAACAAAATCCTTAATGCAATGAACTGACCTTGCCCAATATACACATACTGATAGTCCATTCATGCGAGTTCATACTGAACAAGCACATAATCACTGGAACATGTACCACCTTGTAACCAAAAGATGGTTATTTCTTGATGCCAAAGACTACAATATGCTCACCTTCTTCAGAAAAGTCTACTTCCTCATCAAAGCAGACACTAGCCAACACATTCTTCAGATCATCATCAGTGATATCACCATCATCATCATACAGTAACTTGTTCTCCTGGATATTTTGCACCTCTGTTTCCTCATCTAACAATACTAAATCATAATCTTCATCTTCATCTTCCTCATCATCATCTGCTTCAACATCATCTATGTCGTCATCACCATCATCGTCAATTTCTTGGTCTTCTTCGCCCTCAATGCCCTCTTTGAGTTCCTCTTTCCCCACATTGACCTCCTGGTTTGTATCTATTTCCTCCTTGTCATTATCTTCCTTAGAACTTTTCTTGTTCTTCTCAATATTTTTATCTGTGTTTTCTCTTGCTTCTGCATCTTTGTCAACAAACTCCTGAAAAATCTGAATGGAAAATGCAGAGAATATTTAGAACATAGTTAGAATGAACAGTTAAATGATGAGCTAAGTAATAATATTTACTCTATTAATGTGGTATAATCAATTATTGACACCAAATTGCTATCTATGATTATGTACATTATACAAATTATTATGTACAGCATGTCAGTAACAGAAATCTGTAGCACAAAATATATAGCAACAATCTTAAATATTTAAAATCTAATAAATACCAGAGATTGGTAAGATTCGGAGAGAATCATGATCATGTGGTTGGGAGAAGAACCTGGAAAGTTTAAGTATTTTCATAAATTGACTAAAGCTCTCACTTAAGCTCGCACACACAGCTTTATATACTTATTATATATGGTTGTTTTTGTTTGCTTAATGGGAAACGTCTGAATAAAGATTTTTGTTCATTACAGACTTTTTCTGGAAATGAATGGGATGTTGTTCGTGAAAGTTTTTGCCCTTTTCTAATTTATAACATTGATAGGCTCAGGCAAGTCCGAGATGCTCGGTGTGATTTCCTAATACAGCATTAGGCAGCCCCAGTGCTATTAGCTTGGGAAGCTAGTGAGGGGGCCCTCCCAGAAACAAGACAGGAATAGGTGGAGAGAGCACTGCTTGAAGGAGTGATAATGCAGACCTTTATGTACAGACAGGAGACACTGGTATAGTGTGAATGCACATAATCAAGAATTAGAGCAGTAGATATGAACAATCTCAGAAGAATGTGTTGTGTTAGGAGAAAATGTGTGGCATAAGGCCTGAAAATATTAAGGAATGTTGTGAGCAAGTGTCAATGACTCAAGCATACTGAATATCTGTTAATACTATATATATGACAATTTGCAAGTTGGGCTGTACACCTGGTTTTATGAAATTATATGGGTGCTCTTCCTCCTCATTCCTACCTTTCTCACACTCCTCTTCCAAGTCACTGCGAACCTCTGTGGGCACTGCGGTACAACTGCCATGCTTCTCTCACCGCTCAACTCTCGGTAACCATTGCACTAAGTAACTCCTTACCTCGGCTAATTACATTACATGCTAGCTAATAATGGAGGGTATGCTTGAGGTGTGTATTTTATTTATGAAATGAAAATATGTGAAAAAAATAATTACATCCCACCAACTTTAAATCATCATCTTTAAGAGATAAGTTTTTGGATCTGAACAGCAGGATCAAATCGGCATCCTGTGTCATCCCAGATCCCACCATTTTGCTCCAAAGGTTTTCTCACAGATTTAGTATGTTATTGCAATCTCATTGTGTATCACCTTCTCTAGTTTATCCTTAGCTATACTTTCGTTTTCGGTCAACTGCTGATTTAGATCTTCATCTTTTATAGCAGGATCTTCAACATCATCATCCGCATAAGAGTATATGTTGTACAAGTCATCGCTCTCCCTCCGTTCTTTCAACATCCTTCCCACATCACGAAATATTTCTTGGGCTGAAAAGTATGAATTATTAATTGTTGTTTTGTGTATGTTAAATGTTTATCATCACTTTTTTTTTTAATTTCTTACTTTATCATGCACCCCATACCCATCCTGTGAGCAGCAGTGGAAAGGGTTAGAGGCACATAATTGGTTCAGGAACTGAACAATATAGTTCATTTAGCTCAGCAAGTGACAATCAGAAAACAAACTTCCATTTTAAAAGTGAAATTTTACACAATATTGCAATTTTACATATAGTTCTGCACGTGAAGTCCTGAATGAAGATACAACACCTAAACCTATCATTAAGTTGGAGGACATGCAAACAGGCAATATTATTTTAATTTAGTTCAGTATAAAGAACATCAGTCCACCAATTCTTGACATACATAAGCCAGGTATGCTGGATGCTCAACAACCACAGTAGAAGTGACAGGCAAGGAAGTCTGAAATTTTACACAGGTGTCAAAGATCAGATACTCATAAATTTTGTTATAAATGTACGGGGGAATCAGTAGAATGATCATCCCATCAGGAAAGATGTACAGCAGCCTGTACATTATCATGAAGCACTGTCATACAATGAGACTGCGGCCTAATAGGCATACTGCATAAAAGGATGGCTCGGTCAGCGCAGAGGTCCAACACCACCAAATGACAGACACCCAAAGGTGAAAAGATCCCTGAACCTAACAGGCAGAATGATAAAGAGGTAAGAGGAAGGATCATGGGGTGTACAAAAACACAGAATCACATCTGTAAAGCTGCAAGCACCTAAATCTGCCACCATATTAGAAGCCTTGATTATCTGGCTGACAGCAAGGATGAGGAAAACAGATTTTCAGGAAGCAGAGGGGTATTAGCTGCATAAACCATTATGCAAACGGAACAGGTAATTTCTGGTGGAGCAAGGAAAATGCACACCAACCACAAAGATAACTCTGCACAAGTTTGAAGCGAAATAGCACACAAGGAAACATGCAATGTGGGTGGAACTAAACATAATTGGGAAGCATAAATTAAACAAAAAACTAAATAATGGCCACTGGAATAAGTACAGTTCCAGGAATAGCCAAAACTATTTAGCTGAAAGGAGCAGCTCTCTGGGCCCACCAGAGGAGTGCAACCTTAACTGAACCAGGAGAGTCAATGAGGAAGGTTGCTGGCTAAGAATGCAGGCAACCTGAGCTGTAATCTGGTGGTGGTCTGGTGCATTAAGTTAAGGGTTGTTCACCCATGGCAATGATCATTTTCCTTGTTTGCTTCGGGTTTTACTTCTATCCTCAAACTGTAGCTTCTTTTGTTTTGTTCAACCTTTCTGCCATGTTTTTCTTGGCTTTGGGTAAATTTCTGGTCCTGGATCCCAGTAAGTCAACATGGGTCTGAGACTTGGTGCAGTTCTTAAGACTCGCCTACACCAGTTCAATAAGCTTTGGGACGAGACTTCCCAGAAACTGCAAAATCACCAGAAATCTAAATTTTAAGCTAAACCCAAAACAGGTCATGAGCGACACTCTGTACAGTGCTAGGGCACTCCAGATTTTGGGGCTTATGCTGTACTGTATGTCATATCTTGTTTATGCTTTGCCATAATCACTAGTAATATTCATAGAATCTGAGTAATATGGAAAACAGTAAAATGTAAATACAGTACACTATTTTTTAACCAGATTTCATTTTATGAAGCTTCTGCAATTTATTCATCCCTTTCTTATTTCTCACAAACAATCACAGGAAAACACTTAATATTAATTTTTCCTGCTGAATGACTGGTCTGATATTTCTTAAATTCATTGTATTTGGTAATTTGGAATATATTCACTAGAATACCATTGTTTGCTATGATTACTATAAATATATATTTTCTGATTTTTTAGTCTTTATTTCAGTCTTGCCATTTATCTTACACCACATAATATGGTCTGAAATCTAATCTTAATCTTGCACATCCTGCATACTGCTCAAAGTGGGAACCTTGCTGTTTACCTTGTGCTGTCTCACATGGTAACCTCGCTACTAACATTACTCACAAAGACATGAAAAAGAAAGAAGCTTTTTCATTAACTTTCGATACCTCATTTTCTACACATACTGAAGTACTGTGGTAACCCTATCACAACTTACTAACAAAACCATGCAACATATTACTAACAACCATATCAACCATACCCTGCACTAATTCCAGTTTATATGTATATATTCTATGTTCTGACCCCACAATTTTCCTTTCCTCATGATATCTCTCACCTGCTCTTAAAAGCAACAACTTGTACACATACCCTGAACTCTGACAGTTTCTGGTCTCAAAGGCAGGCTGCTCTGTTTTGTAACCTTCTTTAAAAGGTTCAAGATGTCCACATAATCTGGAAACTCTTTAGTTTTGTTCACCCATGCAGTAATTCTCTTATTAACTTCTGACCACCGTGATCCTGCAAAATAATGAAACATATCAGCTTGATTTTTAATAATAAACCATTTATAATAAAATCTATTTAACAGCAAACACATTGTTGTGAGGCAAATGGACAAAACAAAAGTAATGAAATATAGATACTTAGCAAGATGAATTTTTATTGGATGATGTCTCACTCGTGTTATTTGATAGTGTCGGAGCTCTAGAGTACAACAAAGTTCCAGTCACAAATTTTCCATCACACAGTGTCATGTTTCCCAAGTTATGAACTCTATGTATGATTATTTCCTCTGGTAACATCCTCCAGGGAATGCCTGTCATATATACTACTTGGTTTGCACAGTAGCACATGGTTTAGAAGATCATATATAGTCTGGAGGCCTGGTTGAGGACCGGGCCACAGGGACGTTGAGCCCAAAAATCATCACAAGATATAATTAATTGGAAAATTGGCCATCTGGATGAAAACAACAGGTACTGCTAAATAGAATTGTATTAGGTTGGATAGGTATGACAAGTGGAGTGCCACAGGGGGCAGTCTAAGGACAAATTTTGTACTTGATGTTGGCCTAAGATAAACAATATAAAATTTACCAATGTTATTCAACTGGAGTGACATTAAAAGCCAACTGAAACAACTTAATAATAGTCTGACAGAGAAGACTAGAATTAATGCTTCCTCCTCTTGTATAATTCTCTAGTATGTCCTACATTAAAATACTGTATGTACAGTATATGGTTTTGGTAATCTTACTCGAGAAGATATTGTGCTGCCAAATAAGGTGAGACCAACAAAAATCCGTCTTCATATCAATACTGTATTATCTCAAAACTCAACTGAAAAAATTGACTTTAGTTAAATATACAAATTTTTACTTCCTGCCAATATGCATCCTAATTACCTGGACCTAGATTCAGGAAGCTCTGTGTATTTCTTCGTAAGTGGGTTTGCTACGAAGGTTCCTAAGTGCGCCCTAAGAAGATGCTTAGGTGCGATTCAATAAGATCCACTTAGGAAGAAATTTGTTGGTTCACCTGCGTGCCGATAGAGGTCACTACTGTGTTTCGTTTGGCCAATCAGAGAGCAGCAACATTCTTCATATTGAAGATTTAGCGCTGGTTTATCGGAGCTCTACTGCCTCCTATTTACGTCGAATTTTCTTATAAAATTAGTATATTTCGAAGTAAAACAATGTTTTTTCAACTTCTACAGCTGGCATCGACATTGTAGTAAACAAATATGTTACATTTGTTGTTTACCTACGTAATTCTAAGAGATACTGTGTAGCTGTCCTTGTTGCTCGGAAGATGCGCTGACAATTATTGTATATATTTACTGAATTTACCCAAGGGCCACTAACTATCTAGTGACCTCGAAGAGGACAGAAAGCCGGCGGCTTGTTAAAGGGCCCGCCAATTGTCTTAATGATATTTTTTAGCTGGAATTTGGCATTTACGGCTTCAGCGGGTAGGCGGTTCCATGGGTTTATAGCCTTCTTGGTGGAAAAAAACATCTGTTTTCAGTCCTACTTGAGAGAACATACTCTCCAACACTATATCTGTGATTGTCCTGTTATCAGTGACTTCATACGAAATGGTATGAGGTATTTTGAGCTCTATAATTTCTTCATACACTCAGGAATATTGGAAGATATTCTTGTGCTGCACCCAGATTTTGCCAGTGGAGGCTAATAGATCAGCATTAAGTATTTTGTTCTCTCCTAATTCCATGTATGACTGGCCATCCTGTGAGGTGAGGATGTTGGATGAGCTTGTAGCTGGTTTTTGATCTACACTGTGTGGTCCTTTATACAGAATAGGGAAGCAGCACATTGCTGTGTATACCTAAACATGTTTAAAAATACATTGTTTGAGAGGAGTCTTGTAGAAACTGGTAAGAGTAATTATAATATAATGTTTCCATGATTCAGTGCTTACCTCTTATGAAAATTGCTTAGAGTTGTTTAGTCAGAGTTGATTTGTTTTTTGTATTGAGGCTGGTATTTTCTAAATTGATTCCATGTATAGTATGTCTAACCATCCTGTGAGATGGGAGTATTAGATAAACTTATATCTAGTTTTTTATCTACACTGTGTAATATTCCATATAGAATAGGGTAGTAGTACATTGCTGTGTATACCTAATCTTCTTAATAAAAAAACCAGCGTTGAATGTAATGAAACGCCATTTTCTGGGTGAGACCCGGAGGCTCCCCGGAGCTTTACCGGCTGATATGCTAATGTCAGACTTTGGCATCAGTCATGTGTATGGAGTTCTAGGGCCTACCGGGGACCACGGCCAGAACCTGGCCCCCTCAGAGAGGCAAGGGGAGCAATGGCCTATAGAAACCCCCGTGTGGTTGGAAGCATTCTATGTCTGCCATCGACCGGGTCAAGCATCCAGAAAGGTAAGCATTCCAAAACAAACCCCTATTCTGGTGAAAATTGCTACCTAAGCCGAACTAGTGGATAGAACTCTTCAACAGAAAACAAGGAAACTAGTATGACGTCATACGTCACCGCGCCGCTGTCTGCGCAGCTCCCCCCTCCCCGGGAGGGGGAAGGGGGAGCCCCAGACCTCCCACGCCGGCTATCCACCCATCAGTTCTGAGGCTGGATGTCAAAATACGCGAAAAACGCCGACCGGAGGGAGGGAGGGTTGCCGGGGAGCCTCCGGGTCTCACCCAGAAAATGGCGTTTCATTACATTCAACGCTGGTTTTCTGGGGGGAGCCCCGCCGGCTCCCCGGAGCTAACTACCCACAGAGGAAGGTCAAAGGGACAAAACCGGGAGGCGGACACCACGCACCCCCCAAGGAGGCGAGACAACCGGCAGCAAACGCCAACCCAAGGCGCCACAGCCCCGAAAATCCCGGGAACAACACGAGAACCACGAGCAGCAAGGCCCCTGCATGAACACCCAAAATCCAAGCCCGAAAGACTGCAAGGCCACGTCGCCCAGACGGCAGCGAGAGCAGCGAAGCCACGAACGCCACAGGCATGAGGGAAGAACACAGGCAGCTTAGCCGCAAGAACACGGCTGACCACCCGGGACACCATCACTCGCGAACCGGGAAGAACAGAACCGGATCAACGCAAAACGCGCTCCGGACCCAAACGCCGTGGCACGCAAACAACAGCGGAGGGCCGCCACTGAACACAAAAACGACACACCCCCGACCCGACCAACGAAGCACCAACAAACCCTGGACCCCTCCAGAATGCAGCAGCCCCACCCCGCACCAGAAAAGATGGAGACTGCTGCCATCAAACAACCAAAACGCTAAAACCGAAGGAGCAAGAAAACTCAGCGAACCAACCCCCAGAGGCAAAGGCCCAAAGGAAAGAGCCTACGAAAAAACACCGGAACCGAAGGGGCACTACCAACCGAGGAGAAGACAGAGCACGCTGACCAGAGACCAGGATGGTGCAAGCGGCGCACGAGCAGGCCGGAGGTGAAACGACGCACAAGACAGCTGACTAACGGTGCAGAAGCAACACCAAGACCGAAAGCAAGCTGAAGCGGCTCCGCCTGCGCCGCACGAAAAGAGGCGACAGTATGTGGCAAGACGACGGCCCCCAACCCCCACTAGAAAACCAAGCCGAGAGTAAACCAAGCCAACAAGAGTAACTACCTAAGAAGGGACAGGAAAAGGAAGGACCGCCAAAATACCCATACTGCCGCCAAGAGAAGCACGCAGGTGGGACACCTACCACGAAGCCACCCGACCACCAACCGGAGGCGAGACCACAAGGCAGAACATAAGCAGCCCCGACAAGGCCCCCCCGAGCCCAGGAAACAGGCGGAGCCGCGAGAAGATCTCGGTCGCGACCACCGAAACCCAGGCGGCACAAGGAGATGGAACGTCTGCCGAACAGAAAAACTCCCCAAAGCATGCAAGCCTGCCAGGAGTTCAGAAACGACGGGTCCGAAGCAAGACATCGCAAGAACCCCCCCCCCCCCCCACAAAAAAAAAAAAAAAAAAAACCGGTAGGGCAAGCTAGGAAAACCAAAGAAGGCGGAAGGGTCGCCGCCAGAACAGGACCCGAACCAAGGGGCACGAACAACTGCAATAGACCGAGACAAAGAAGCACATCACAGGACACAGGCTGACCAACGCCTAAGAACACACGCAGAACATCCCTGCTGCAGAGGAGGCAGGAAGAAAGAGCAGAAGCACAAAAAACCCCAGGAGAACAACCAGGGGTGGACAATCAGGCAGGGACAAAAACCGCACGCAATCCCCAGGCACAAAACGGCAGCAAAGTGCCACTCCACAACCGGACACAGGAACAAGGACACGCCACCGTGAACACGGTACCAATGCACACGTGCAGCAGCAGCAGCAGCAGCAGCAACAGGCACCACTGCAACATGCAACATGTAAATAGCAACTCCCCTCTGCAAAGGCAGAGAACGGAGCAGGCAGACCCCAGACAGGGCCAATGGAGACACGACAAAAACCTTGCAGGCCCAGAAACCTGCACCAGGCGACCGACGGCGGAGAAACCCCGCTCGATACCCGCTGGATGAGGTACTGGGAGCTCTTTTACACCCGAAGCCCGGCCCAAGGTCGGGCCAGACCGGCCAGAGGATGGCCCACCAGGCAGCTGCTAGGAGCAGTCCACCGGCCCACATACCCCCACAACCAGGACGGGCCGGAACTGCCATACGAAAACAGGCCAGTGCGCCCTGGAAGTCCACGGACAAACCAACAAGAAGGCTCATGCTCGCAAGTAGGTCGTGTAACAAGCACAGACCACTGATGGTAATACAGTGTTCCCCAAAAGTGCCAATAGCACCACTGCACTCCACTGGTACTATCCCGCAAGTTCTACCAGATAGGCGGGACCCAAGAGCCAGAGCTCAAATCCTGCAAGCACAGCCAGGGGCCTCACCAGGTGAGTACAGAACCAACCTTACAACCCCCACACCTCACAACATTAAAAAAGGAGGGTCCCCTGAATGACTCCAGCATGGGTTGGACATGCACATGAGGGGGACAGGAAGGGGTGA